ATATTGATGACCTGCTGATCGCATCATCAAACGTAGATGAACATTGTCAACACCTTACGCTATTATTCCAACGTCTTTCGGATAATGGAATAGTAGTCAACCCAGACAAATGTGAATTGGGTAAATCAGAGATAATATCTTTGGGTCACATCGTCAGACAAGAGGGTATTCTGCCTTGCGAGGACAAAGTTCGAGCAATCAAGGGGTACAACGTGCCGTCCTCACTCAAGGAACTGAAGGCTTTTCTCGGTTTGGTTAACTTCTACCGACGTTTCATCCCTCACGCGGCAGAACGGTTACGACCATTAACCGATTTACTACGCGGTAATCCACACGAATTAGAATTGAACGGTACCGCATGTACTGCATTCTCAGAGATCAAAACGGCTCTCGCTGAAGTTACACTTCTCGCTCATCCTGACCCATCAGCCACGCTTAGTATAGCGGTTGATGCATCAGATTTTGCTATAGGAGCCGTCATGCAACAGAATATCTCCGGTAGTTGGCAACCGCTTGAATTTTTCTCACGACGCCTTACTCCCACGGAGACGAGATATAGCGCTTTTGGTCGCGAGCTGCTTGCAGCTTACTGCGCCATCAAACATTTCCGGCACGCAGTAGAAGGACGCCAATTCATTTTATTCACCGACCATAAGTCCTTAACGTATGCCCTGCATATCAAGTCTGACCGCTACTCACCACGAGAGTGAAGACATTTGGACTATATCTCCCAGTTCACGACAGACCTTCGTCACATTAAAGGCGAGTCGAACTATGTTGCCGATGCTCTTTCACGTATCCAGACGAATGCAGTTACTTTACCGGTGCTCGATCTTCCTGCTATGGCGGCCGCGCAAGCAAACGATCCTGTCTGTACAAAAGCACCACAACCTTCGTCCCTTCAGTGTCAGGAATTACCCCTAGCTACTAGCTCAGGTACTATCCTATGTGATATTTCTACCGGTCTTCCTAGACCCATCGTACCCTCTACCTATCGCCGTCTCGTCTTCGATGCCCTTCATGGATTGTCTCATCCAGGTATCGCAGCCACATTACGCCTCATCGCTGCAGGATACGTCTGGCCGTCCATTAATAAAGATGTTCGTATATGGGTAAAGCAATGCTTACAGTGTCAACGATCAAAAGTGCACAGGCACGCAGCTGCCCCCACATTGACACGTTCGCTACGCCTGATGCTCGCTTTGATCACGTTCATATAGACATTGTAGGACCATTGCCACCATCGCATGGGTATGATCACATACTCACGTGCATTGACCGTTTTACAAGATGGCCCGAAGCTATTCTCATCACGTCTATCACGGCGGAGACAGTTGCTCACCGCTTCGTAGAACGATGGATGGCATTGTACGGTTGTCCCTCGACTGTCACGACTGACCGAGGACAACAATTTGAGTCTGCATTATTCCCCTCACTGACCCGGCTGCTTGGTACGGAACGCATACGCACCACCGCCTACCATCCAGCATCGAATGGTTTAGTCGAAAGGTTTCATCGACAACTTAAAAGTGCTCTCCGAGCACACGAAAACGACAATTGGTACGAAACCTCACCGCTCGTTCTCTTAGGCATCAGAATGAGTTTGAAGGTAGATATCCAATGTTCCGCCGCTGAACTTGTATACGGCACGACATTGCGTCTGCCTGGGGAATTCTTCACACCACGGAGCAGTAATGATTTCGGTAAATCAGACTACGTCCATCGACTGTCTGCATTTATGCGAACGCTGTCTCCGGTGTCAACTCGAATACGACATCGACAAGTCGCTCTCCCTCGAGAGTTATCTACCTGTTCACGAGTAGATTCGGTACTCGAACCTTCGCAACAGCCTTACGAAGGCCCTTTTCACGTGATCTCTCGTCACGAAAAGACCTTCAAGGTTGATCGACATGGCCGCGTCGAGATCGTTAGCATTAATCGTCTCAAACCAGCACACGTCGATGACAGTGCCCTACCCGATAACTTGAGACTCAATGCTAGACCTATCAAACCTTCTAGCGGGATCTCTACGTCTACCTCGGATCCCACGCTAGATACATCAGAGACATCGTTCTCACGTCCCGGTTAACAGCACGCGTCATCTGCACCATCTACGGACGAGACTTCCGTCTCACGTCCAGATCGGCAGAAAACGCCGCACTTGACCTCAGATGAGATCGCAGGCTCACGAAGTAGAACGAGACCACCGTCTCAAGTTCCGGTCACCGAGTAGATTACCCGTACGCTTTCGCGACTAAACGCACAGTCAATAACGGATACGGTGTAGGATTATTCCTATACTACACGCATGCTACACTTTTCATTTTTTGATTTTTTTGTATCCTGAGCCCACGCCTCCGACCATCGCCCGTTCGGTAACGTCGACTTCAGTCAACTTTGGCAAAAGCTGGTTTGGCCACCCATGCTCTAGTCAACGCACTCAGTCGATTATCTGGTCTCGAATTCGCCTGGCATACGCTTGGTCGTTATGGTCGCTTCCGGTTTCTTGGCTCAACGTGGTTTCGTCCTACGTCTGCAGCGTTTTTTGGTCCGCATCCCTACGAACGCAATCATCAGATCCTGGATACAAACCACCCTGGTGTGGTATGCTAATTCGACCAACAAATACTGCACACTTCTGATACCGTCCTACGCAAAAGACCTTCGTTGGCAACTCGAGGATCAAAGATTGCTTCTTGTTTCGCCGATTCTTTTGTCCTACAACGGCACTTCTGCCGATCAGTCCCACGAATCAAACCGTTGCCTATCAAAAGTGTAAACCCTTTCTAGCGGGGGGCTCCTGTAGTGACCTACTTTCGTCAACAGAACGCGATTGATTCGATGAAAACAATTATTATTATAACCAATTGTACCTGTGATTGTTTTATTGTGCTCGTTTGTTTAACTGTGTTTATGACAGCCATTATACTCACTTACTCTCCCGTTGACTTTGAAGTTGTACGAATTCGGTTACGCTCAGTAACCACGCTTGTACTCCTTTGGCACGATCTCGGTATTCTTTCGATACCACGAGATCGCCAACAAATACATCTCGACTACAGCCATCATCTGCCTTCTGATTTTTGGCCTACCGGAATCTTATTGGTCTATTGGCACGTAGTCTTGTAGCGGTGTTCATAGTCAAGCTCAACTCGACACCACGCTACAAAACAACAATAAGAAATAACTTCCAAGGTACCGGCTTCTCCACTAGTCTTCCCTCTGAAAAAGGAGCCAACTACCATCATTTTCAGACCCCTTATATATGGTAGGAGTCCGTGAAGCTCGGTTTCGAGTAAACCTAATCTAATCTAGTTATGGCGGATGTAACCCTCCAAGGTAAAGTGCACTTGTAACCAATTTATTCCACTGATTTTTATCGGCAGGTAATATCTGAGAACAAATAACTCAGCTACTGGCTTTGATGATCCTCATCATCCCGGAAAACTAGTTGATTTCAATGATACTGGATCCGTGATTAATTAAGAGTATGAGCACCCAGTGCTTTTTATATCCATTTTAGAAACGAATCGTTGTTTAACCTCATCTTAAGTATTACATTTTGCGAAAACTCGGCTGGATATAAATACGTTAAGTCGACCGATTTTAGTCTTGACATAATGAAACATAATCACTGAATCGGTTAAAAACATTCACATTTAGAAAATGTAATTATAGATCAAGTCTCAAATGAAGGGCTTGCAAGCATGCGAAGCAATTGCTGTAATTTCCGAAGGTCTCATGGCTTTTCACTTCAGTTGTAGTGTCCTTGGCATCTCGGGAGCACGGCGTAAACAGGTTCCATTATTGTATGCGTGATATCAGACATGCATTGCGACTTTAGGTTTGACTTCCAAAAATAGATTGCAGGTATGAAGCTTCGTAAATGGATTTTCGACACACGGTACCAAGACAAACAGCTAGGATGTACCACTGCTTACTTCCGCATTGTTGCCAAAAAAGTGGTATGATATATATTCACCTTTAATATCTCTTCATCCAATACCAAGTCTGATTAGTATAGCCTCTGGAACAACTCTTTCACAGTTAATATGATAAGTGCTAATAATACCTAGATGAAAAGGGTTAAACTATACTATACTCGTCATTTTATATTTTGCTTCGGAACATACACATTCGACTACTTCACACTCTCTCACTGGTTTGGACGTTGACAAAGACTAGTCTTGAAACAACATTTTGCATTTAGAAGGAGATAATCGAGTCCCAAACATGCCAGCACTGTTGTTCAAGGCGATCAAGAGATTGTGGATTTTTTTTAGAACAATACAGTCTACATATTCAGTTTCCAAAAATGAATGTGCTTGCGGATCGGTCAATAGTACTGAAGAATATTTTCTGGAGAAATTTACCTCAGTTACCTCCATTATCATACAAGGTTTTTTTGTATCTTGAAGTACTGAAACAAAAGTTTTTACCCATCCATAAAGAAGAATCTTGTCTATCAGCCAGAACTCAGATCTGTAGATTGCCAACGTTGATAATCTATGTCGCATGATTGGGAGCCTACTTGAGTTACATGGCAATGGTGTGAACAACAACTAACGCTGAAGTCGCAACTCACAGTCAGCACCTAACATGGATTACACCTTCGTCGTATGAAGGTACCATGGATGCTTTGAAGACCGTACAACACAAAGGATATTATGACAGAAATATATCAGAATAGATACAAGCGAAACTGTAACTACCATTGCATAGGCCAATCCATGGAGTACGGCTAACCGATACGCGTCGGTTCTCTTCAACCTTGACGGCGTTCGATGAACAGATCTTAAGAAACAAATTGGTTTCCATTTCTTCCAAGCGAATTTGCGATCTGAACATTTATAGGTAGGTATACTACACAGCTTAATTATGAAATAATACGTAAATCAGAAATAAGGTGAATCTTATCTCTTTGTTGGTCTGCGTTTTAATGCTTAATTTAATAATTCTGTTAGGCCGTCAATTCCCCAAATGACTGGCGGTTAGTTCGTATGGCATTAGACTTTGATTCGTCGGTTCACTCCTGGAGCTTTTTGCCTTACCATATTGTAAAGCATATATATAGTTATTTAGGCGATGAAGTTGTTTACGTTTCTACCGTATGTAAACGCTGGCGTGGGGTCGCATACACCGATAGATCTATATGGAAGAAACTACATATATGTCCTCCTAATTTTCCAGAAGTTGAAACTCTCAAGAATCAGATTATCCCCATGAAAATTTGTAACGAGATTTCGCTTGAATTTGATCCAAGGGATGAGTCTCATGTTGCTGTTTTGGAATACACACTGAATACTTTGTGCTCGAATGCTGGAATACATTCCATTTCTTTACGACCGACATTAAAACTTTTATACAATAAATCCTCTTCAAATATCTCGAACCGACTTTCAAAGAAGTATGTCATGAAAAATTATTTCCTTTTACTTAAATTGTTAACAATCTGTGTCATATCTATTCGTGTACATGCAGTCTGTCTCCGTAATGATATGGTGAGACTAACGTTTGGACAAACCAATCAGATGTAAGGTTGCGAGTTTTGTATTTCGGCACACAAAATCCCCGTGGCCAACTTTCATTTCTGGCATTATGATCGATGTCAGTCAGTGTTGACAACTCTAATCTATATTTGACTCGAAATTCTAGTCTCCATTACCCTCTAACATGATTTTATTTGACGGTAGTAAGTGGTTAAAGCTTCTTAAAGACATTTCGGTATCTCTCAAACTTTGTTGGTGGATTACAAACTCGACACGGTTGTTTGGATTCTACTTCGTCGAATAAATGGACATGCCTCTACAATTTTGAGATAAATGAATAGTCATTTTTCAACTGTAATACTTAGGTCTAAACTACGCCCAGTAGCCATTTTGCCATGTAGTACTCCATTATCAATGGCTGACGACTTGGAATTTATGAGAAGGTAACATGTGGTAAAATGTGTTTAAGACTCAAAGGGTTTCAATTATGAGGAATTTAAATTACATTCTTTTTTAACAAGGTATTCAAGAGGAGCAGAGATAAATAAAACCCAGTTGACACAAATGTAAATTGGTTGGAAATCATTTGTTTGATGGAAATTCGATTACGTTTTTTTAGAAAAGCAATTTACTTTAGTATATTTTCCACCCACATAACTAGAATTGAGTCCTAAGATTTTCCGGGACTATACAAATGAATCAAATTAACCTTAAGGGTACTGCTTGTGCTCACTTCCCTCTCTAAAGTGCCTTAAGCTTCATTTCGGGTTAACAGTCATTCTTCTATATGTAATAGTTCCCTACAATAGACGGGACCTGTGGCTTTTGATAAAGTATTATTAATTTGTTATTAATTTGAGATCACTGGCTGTATGTTACCTCAATTCCACCTAGGCTCCATGATTAAATTTAGACAAAGCACGTTCGGTTATAATGAGCTAGATGGAATTGTTTCCAACTATAATGACTAATTAGCAATATATCGTTTTACAAAGGGATGTTTTGTATTATAAGACTTACTCGTTCTCAACTACCTATTGAGACGTGTTGTACTGGATAGCGTGATTGTATGTATAGAGCAGTGGCCTAATGGTTAAAGGGTTTAACCTTCAGCTAGTGAGCCGCATGTTCGAATCCTGCTTCACCTACTTCGATTTTCCATACCTAACAGTACAGCTAACCTCCATAATGCCTCGAAACTGATTGCACTAGTTTATGCTTGGTAAATGAGTAAATAAAATATTTTGCTGAACAGTTATGTGTGGCAGGTTTCAAACAGTTTCTTAACCGTTGCAATCAATTCACCAGGTTGCGAGGTCACCAAGACTGGTCATGTTTCTTGTTCTAATTACATAGAGGAAAATGATCCTCAATAACATGAGCAACCCACGAGGATGTCAACTGTTTACATACTTTCCACGGTACTGGAAATCGACTAAATACTCTGTATGGAGAATAAACTACTACTGGGTGATCCATATGTGTAAAAAGGTAATTACCTACCCAGAAGCATTCCTCTCTCAGTTCAAGATTTTGAAATTTACTGAGTGGGTCCTCACTTTCATAATTTTGTCCCCTTCATCCTCCTATCGCTAATTGAAAGAGCAACAAACGTACTTGTAGATTTATTGATATAAATATATATCATTAGCCAAACCTGTATTTCTAACCGTCTTCCAGTTATTCTAAAGTATAGTGCAATAGGGTTATAGTGATAGTAAAGCAGTCACTTGAAAAATGAAAGACGGCTTTCAAACCATGTGTTGTAGTTTCGATCCCCTCTACACTATCCGGCTTAGCCTAGCAATACTACCACACCTATACAAAATTTATAGTTCAAAGAAAAGCAGCGTAGATCCTAACATGTGTATCACTTATTTATTATTCATTTATTTATTTATTTGAACACATAAATATTGGTACAGGGGGGCACCAAATATATATGCGCCACACAAAACAATGATAATTTGAAGAGAAGGAGAAAAGAGAAAAAAAAAAGAAAAAAAAAGTAATGGACGTGGGGAATTATAAAAAAAAGGAAGAGAGAGAACAATGGTGGGGGAAACGGAAAGGTACAATCAGAAGAGATCTTTCAGTTAAGGAAGATACAACCACTTTTTATGAAGAAAGTAAAAGAAGGTTACAGCACGATCGCCACTGGCTTCTATTCTGAGCCATATCTGATAACGTCTCTAGCCACTGCGTTACACCGTCTCTCGGACCCCAACCAGGGAGTCGTGAAGGACCAACAGAAGCTAGCCCTTTGCAGCTTTCTTTCATACCACGACACCATGTCATATACTGACCACCTCTCCGCTTTTTCCAACCAGTCCCAGAGTCGGCAAATAATGCACGACGTGGAATTCTCTGGGACGACATTCGTAGAACATGTCCAAGCCACCGAAGTCGGTGTTTCAAGATGGTGACACCAATTTCATTATCGTCTCTGTGCCCGAACACACGATGCCGAACCTCTGCATTACTGACATGGTGTTGCCACTGGATGCCAGCAATCCTTCGGAGACAGCGATGATCGAACACAGAGAGTCGTCTAACATCCTCAACTCGGAGAGGCCAGGTTTCACAAGCATAGAGCAAAACTGCTCTCACCGTCGCGTTGTAGATCCGACCTTTTACAGCCAGACTAACATCACGAAGGCGCCAAAGATGGCCCAGATTGGCATAAGCCGCTCTGGTTTTCACTATACGTGCATTGATCTCATCACTCACACCACCACCAGCACTTATGCAGCTACCTAGATACACAAACTTCTCGACTACTTCAATCTGCTTACCATCCAGAGTGAGTACAGGATTAGAATCCTGCCAGTCTTGTAGAAGTACTTTGCACTTCGAAGGTGCAAAGCACATACCATACCTACGGACACTGATTGCCAACTGATTAAGTGCGGATTGCATATGCTGGGCATTATCGCACAGTAAGACAATATCATCCGCATACTCAAGGTCGAGAAGTCTTTCTCCAGACAACAGATCCACACCACCATTACTTACATCCGTCAGAGCTGTTTCCAGAATGTAATCGATGGCAAAGTTGAAGAGGAATGGTGAGATTGGGCAACCCTGCCTAACCCCACTGCTCGAATGGAATAGTGGATAAAGGTGGTTGTATGCCCTCACTCTGCCTGAGGTGTTTGTGTATAAAGCTTTTAGGATGTTAATAAACTTCTCAGGCACACCCTTCTTCAATAGACAATCCCAGAGAACAGTCCTGATATCAAGAAACACTACGATTGTTGGCCTTTGATAAGTATGGCGGTGTTCTAACACTTGGCGGAGGGTGAAGATATGATCAATACATCCTCGACCAGAACGAAACCCAGCCTGCTCCTCGCGAGTCAATCCTTCTCGGGTTCTGAACAACCTACGAAGTATGACGGAAGCCAATAGCTTGGACGCAATCGGAAGTAGACTTATCTCCCGATAGTTGTTACTGGAACGACGTGAACCCTTTTTAAAGGTAGGGACAACTATCGACTCATTCCATGACGTTGTACACTCTCTAGTTCCCAGATCTTTGTAAACAACGTCGTCAGTCCCTTAGTCAGAAAGTCACCACCATCTTTAAAAAGAGCCGGAGGTAAGTCATCTGGGCCCGGTGATTTGTAACGTTTCAAGAGCTGGAGTTCCTTGCGGACTTCCGCCTCATTTGGTGGATCAGTCGTCACCGGCCATGGAGGGCAGGACAGTCTGACCGATGTTGCCGGAGCAGCAGGCCAGTTGAACTGCCCTTCAAAGAATTCTGCCCATCGTCCAAGACGTCGATGGATGTTAGTGATTGGCGTTCCGTCATCCTCGCAGATTGTTTCGCTCACACCAAACTTCTTGCTGCCAGTGGCTCGGATGAGTTGGAAGAACTTCCAGTAATTACCAGATGCAGCCGCTGCTTCCAACTCACTGGAACGCTCCGACCACCAGGCTTCTCGGTCCTTACGCAAGCTTTGCCCGATTTCATTACGTAACATCCTTCGTCTGTGGTCAAACTCACGGTCACCCGGAGTAGACCGACGGGCTTCAATCAGTTGTAAGGAACCAGAAGAAACCCAGTGCTTGTAAGCGGGACGTTTCGCAAACCTACAACAGACTGTACCCGCCATTTTCATGGCGTCATGCAATTGCAACCTATGCTCATCTATACTTTTCGGTGGAATGGTAGCGAGCCTAGAAGCTAGCTCGGTTCGGTACTTACTAGCAACAGAAGTTGCAGCCAGCTTGCTAACATCAATCCTTTGGTGGCGGTCACTTCGTTCTCCAGTGAAAAGTAAGGTAAGATTGGCGCAGACCAGAGCATGATCAGATTCCAGATAGGTACTCCAAAAGGAGCGGCAGTCTTGTACACAACCGCGCCAGCGGTAGCTGATCGCGATGTGATCAATCTGAGTCCAGGCTTGAGATGCAGAAGGGGGACGCCAGGTGGCACATCGGCGATGACTGTGCCGAAAGTTAGTGCTAGCCAGAAACAGGTTGTGGTCTGTGCATAGTTGCAGTAGACGTTCCCCGTTATCTGTCCTGCGACCAACGAGTCCCCATCGGCCACCTAAACGACTCTCTTCTGTGCCTAGACGCCCGACCTGAGCATTCAAGTCTCCAGCTAGTACTACAATATCTGTCGAACGCGCTTTCTGGAGAACAGTTAGCTGATGGTAGAACTCGTCCTTGATTGCATCCGGGCTGCAATCTGTCGGGGCATAGGCGGAGATGACGAAAAGACATCGTTTCTCACGCCGATTTCTTCTCACTTTGATGGAACTTTCTAATCTAACAGCACATAACCGACTGTTAATGGGGATCCAGTCGACTAGTGCTGCCTCAGCTCTTGCGCTTAGTGCGACACCGACGCCAGCAAGACCAGACGAAGATGCCACAGGGTCCCCGGATAAACGCACATAAAACAAGCTTTTTGAAGTGACAGATGGAGAGCGAACTTGTAGTACTTCACCAGAGTCTTGAATACGGGTCTCGGATAGACAACACACATCAATATTAAGACTTTCCGAAGACATAGCCAGCCCTATCTGTTGTCCGACCTGCATAAGTGTGCGAACGTTGAAGGCAGCCAGTTTGAATGGTGCACGTGGTTTCAGAAAAACTGCTTCAGTACTCATATTCGGTAGTAACATACAATTTTCAACCAGGCAGTGACTCGAGAACGTTTAGATAAAGCTGAATTTTCACCATAGGCGAGCTGCTGTCTGAGTCGAAGCGGATACAAAAAGTAGAAATAGGAGATAGTGAATAAATGACGTAGTAAATAATAATAATAATAATAGTAATAATAATAATACCAGTCATTTCAATGTTAGTCGGAGAGAAACGAATACTTTCTATAAGCATATAGTTCATCATAGTTTTAGTGAGTGGGCTGGGATACTGCCCGGGTGCCCAGACCGAAGCAGGTGGTTTTCTTAGGGGGCCACACCCCGAGCCTTTGACCTAAAGGTCTAGTCCACAAGGCAGTGGAGCATCGTGAGGAGATGCAGTCCCATGGAAGCCGGTGACCAAAAGTTGGTTCATACGCCATTTGTTCCCGCAGGATACTGGAGCCCATGCGCACCATAGAATTGGGATCCGGTTATAGCGCCGGACGTTCGCTTTTCGTCCTCTCATTTTCGTAAACAACACCCGTGGTGCGAGAAGGCAGTGAGTAGGACTTCCCTGGCAGAGGCTATATACGCGTGGCCGTGTGAGAGTATTTCGAGAGGGAGGGCGAACCCTCCCCGCTCTCGGCCATACCAGGGCATTTGGGGGCTACCTGTATATTACCACATTAACACAGCGAGATAAAATTATCTTCAAAGAAATCCCAGAGTAGTAGGACTAATAACAGTATCAGCAGTAGTAAAAAAGGATCAGGTATGGAGAATGAGGATTACAAACAGATTTTTAGACTCAGGTTGTAGAGAAAGACAGAGTGAATGTACCTCCGATATTGCGAACAATTTCAAGCCGAAATCTCTAACCATTGGTTACGGTAATACACGGGTTTGCACTTGGTAACTAAGATCGTATATCACATTTGTAAGTCACAGGTTCAACCCACTTCACTTCGGTTACAAAATTCGAGAACTATCATTATCGAAAGCCGCAAGGATGGTTCTTTTATTCCAGTGTACATCCCCGTATTTGGACTTTCTATTTTTAGTTTTTAGTATACTGCTAATATAAAACAAGCATATTCATCTTTCAGTTTGAAGTTGCCGTGATTGTCGAATTTTATTCATATCATAAGCTGATCAATGTTAGACCACCAGTGAAGAACTGAAAGCACTGGTCGGCCGTCTCATCCCGGTATCAGACTCCTCAGAGGTGCTACTCCATGATCGCACACGCGGGATTCAAACCAAAGACTTTTGGTTTCACGCGAACATTTAACCTTTAGACCATTACTGGGCATATGATAATTTTCAGTTCGGGGTTGTGGAGGTTATTGAATTTCATCCAAGTTGACTAACTTTGTAAGAAAATTCTCGGAGTTTTAGTTAGAAGTCGTGACCAGTGTAGTTCAACCGTGTTGAGTGTAAAGGCAGTTACCCATGGAGAACAATGGAAGATGGTCGCGCAACACCCTGGATTGGTTGAAGCTAGACATTAACGCCGTTGGACATCAGCTCAGTGGTCCGGAGGCTAAGTGTTCACGTGAGAGATGGTGGGTTCTGGGCCTGATTCCCGCCGTGAGGTGGTTAGTGTGCACTGCTGAAGAGTCCTATACTAGAGCGAAACGGCTTTCCTGTGCTTGCAGGCTTTAAATGGTTGTCTAACGTTGATGGGCTCATTATTTCAATGAGATTTTTACTATTGTTCGCTAAAAAAGAAGATAATTTCAACCAAAATTAGCCATTTATTCAGTTTTGACTTGTAAAGTTATTTTTGAGATCTGCTCGAGCCAGTGAACGTGAAATTCGATTCGAGCCTGCAATCTAATCGGGTTAAAATTCAAATGGCTCAACTACCAATTCACTCCGTTACCGTTTGATAGAGAAACACATTTTCATTGTATTTTATGCTATAAGGGTGTTTTTTAATATCCGACCATGTAACTATCTATTTTTACTTTTTCTGTACTTAAAAGTATGTTATTATTCGTTCTTTTTCCCATTTAAACTTCAGAATAATAAATGCCTTATGCGAGGTCATTATGAATGCTAAGTGTTTAAAAAATTTTTATTGGGGTGGAACTTATTGTGGAAGTTATGAAGTCAGCCGTGTATTACAATCATTGACAAAAAATCAAAAGCATAATTTATTATCATTACAAATTATCAGATTATTTCAAATCAATCAATCCATGTCATATTTAAATACAAGATTATTTATATTTTCCAACCTCAACCAGTTTTCTATTAATTACCTAAATCTTTCGGAGGATATACTTTTAATTTTATCGAGAAATTCAAACCATCTTCGTATTTTAAAACTTTTTGTACAAAACAATGTTCAAGATCTTCCTATAATTCGGTGAGTTTTATGATTTTAAATAGTTGTTTAGTATACTGTTTCTATCTCAGTTGAAATTAGTTTCTCTGATGTGTTTTTCTTACTACTCCTCTCTCTCATTGTGCCGATTCCATGTAGAAACTTAAATCAATAGACATTCATGTGATTTCCTGAATCAAAAGTAACCGACTGACTCATTCGAAATATCAGGTTGTTTTGTAATAATTTTATTACATGTTCTAAGTACGTTGAATTACTGAGTCTTTCAATGTTTTTAACACTAGAGACTTGGTTGGTCAAACTATGACTTGAAATTAATGGCACATTTTTATCTAAGTATTACGGGGCGAACGTAGGATCTTGGTTATAATTCATAAAAATCGAATTATTTCAAATGAAATGGGAGTTTGTATGGAGAAGTAGGTTGGATGCCATTAATGTTTATCTTTCCCAAAACATCATCTCATTATTTTAACTGGATACTGTCATATTTTTTTTCTGTAATCTCATGTCTGATTATGCAAGTTTTCATGTATCTGTCGGTCTAGGTAGCTGGTTTATGTGTATAAAGGGCTTTTGGGCTATTATTCAGATTTTAGAACATCATGTCCTAATTTCTCAAATTGTCGTATACTGATGACAGCAACAACTAAATATATTGATAACTGTGTATAAGCCCTTTAATCTCAGAGATTGGAATTAAGATACCTTCAACTTTCCACTCTATAGTCGGTTCCAAGCTTCTCCAGGTAAACAATCAGTGACCAAATGTAAATAGATCACAAAAAAAACAGTATATAAAACCGTTGTTCAATTCTGCCTGCATGTTGGGTTATGAATGTCAATCATCATTTGGTGTGAAGTGTTATGTAAAGATGTGTACTTGTTTGCATGCTATGATTATCCAAATCCATATATATAGCCTTACGGTCAGGATTAAATTAGTCATGCTGATTGATAGCCACGAATCGACATTGTCAGTGCATGTATAGTTTTGGAAAAAATAAGACATCCAAACAATAATTAGCTAAGTGATTAAATGTACTATGTCGATGATGATAACCACAACGCATTATCTGCAAATTGTTGTAGGACTAGTAGACTGTATTTAGCCTCTTCAACCATCATCGACGCTATTATTTTAGCTCCTCGGCCATTTATCTTATTAATTACATTTTGATGCTCTGATTTAATGTAACAGTTTTGGTGAGGAAACTTTTGTGACCCCATCCTACGTTAATTATCACTGACTTGAATCTGCTGTTCGTTATTGACGTTGTGATATGGACTACGTGTAGTCAGCTGGTGGTAGCAACCGTTTTTCATCATTATTTCCAGTTAAACTGTTACTCTAGTCTATTTTCTTTTTGTCTCCCCATCTACCATAGAAATCAAATTTGGAGACATGTGCATGAAATACTTCCTAATTTGCGTGTGACTTTATTCCTAATTTGTGTAAACGATCTCAAACAATCAACAATCCATTCGAATTCAACCAATCAACGAATGTCTTTCATACAAAATACTACTCAAGAACTTGATAATCAATTACCACTACCATCATCATCATATTCATCGATGTCGCCATCCCGTTCTGTCACTTCTACGTCCTCATCGCCAACGTCTTCGTCTTCACCGCATATACCGGTGCAATGTCGACTAGAAAATGAACGTGAACAACACTTAAGGGGGGAGTGTCATCATCCATATGGTGAACAGAATCAAATTTATCAATTACTTTCAACCAAACTTTTGCCTTCTGCTTTGCCTTTAAATTCAATTTATATATACTATTGTAAACCAGATCCATTGTCTTATCTTATACAATATTTAATGGATACATTTGCTATGAGTTTAGAGCATTTCTATCTAATTGATACTTTCAATATAATATCTGTGATGTCAAACAATTCTAACGGTATTTTACATAATAATTCTCATTATACAGAATATACTACCATTACTACCAGTAGTAATAGTAATGGTAATGATAGTAATAATAATGATGATAATAATAATGGCAATATCATTAGATTTATTGCCAATACACCAGCAACAATGTCTTATGATGCTGTTATTAATTATGACAATTACGACTGTGTTGACTCTGATTATCAGTCAATGTTCAGTTCTTATTCCTCACATCATTCATTATTACTGGATAGTACAAGTGATTTTGATATATTGAGCTGTGATTCTTCCTATGATCTATTTGATTATGAAGATAAAAGTTGTAATAATAATAGTAATTATTACTCAGGTAATTTTTTGCTGCCCGTTTCAGCCAGTCTATCTTTGACTTCATCATCTTCGTTTTTACCGGTACCGTCAGGGTCATGTTTGTCTGATGATAAAATACACCAATCATTGATAGCACCAATATCACTTCATAAAATGGTTGAACAAATTGAATACTCTTCTAATTCAGAAATTATATTACCAAAAAATGAGAATGATAGTTTGAGCATAATAAAATCAACTGCGTGTGAGGAAAGTGCTATCAATAAGGGCGGTGGTAGTGATACAAGCGTTGTATCTCATCCAGCGCTCATTTCTACGCATGATATTATCAATACAACTAAAACCAATGTTAATGACTATTGTGATTATTTACCTTACGATTGTAATTATTATTCCAATTTTTCCGAGGCTTCACAATCATCTACTTCATCAAATCTTGTTTTTTACTCACCAAATTTGTATAAAGCGCCTGATGATGTCAATCCTGACCCGTTTGTTATGTTAGCATGGAGATGTCAACAATTGTCGCATTTTACACTAATTGGTAAGCAATTTCTTTTCAAATTGTTTATAGAATTCATATTACTAGTCAGATTAGTCCGAACAACTGCATACGCAAATGCGATGGGTGTCAAAACTTAGAATTCGGCTTATTCGATTAATTATGTGCTTGTTTTCTCATATAATATGTTTAACCAATAAGGTTACGCTTAAACTGGTTGTTCAAATCTGAAAATAATTAACTAAACTCAATAGTACAGAAGTAATGAATGTAATATTGTAAATAACGGTACATTATAAAATTGTAATAAAATTTTTACCTATAAACATAATGATAATGACTTGAGCACTTACAAGCAATTTAATATGTTATACTTTTCTTTAAAAAAATATATGAATTAACGAAACGAGTCAGATTATTTTCCCAATAAACGATCTATCAAGAAAAGTTGAATACACAGAAAACTAGATGAAAATAACCAATATGACAAATTATATATTGATATGATTGCAGTACAAAGCAGTTCATTGAAACCACTAAACTACAGTATTATTCATATTTAAATAGACCATTTAGTGAGATGTATTCAATCAGTTGTGTCCGGTATTCCACTGTCAGTGACATTTTTAATCATATACTCTTGATAATAGTAACAAGTTTTTAAAGAGAATTTATTCTGGTGAGGCACCTAGGGTAATTTAATTTTGCAACTGAACGCGGAAGATAACCATTAACAATTAAGAATTTATTTTGATGTTCTAAATACTAGCGTGTATGTTTTTGAATATACAGAATAGTTTCTAGCTAGCGTCATTCGTGACGTGAAAACCACGTAGTATGAATGTATCATACTAAGGGTTAATTTTTTTACTGGATAAGATTTTATCTTGCAATATTTGATTAAGCAGGATTTGTGCTTATCACATATAGTAATCACTCAAGCGTAAATACACTTTAGAAAGTTTACCTCATACCGTATGAATATTTTAAGTGAACATATTGAATTCATGTCAGACAGTTAATATGGTCTGGAGAATCAATACTCTAAGAGAATTATCAACTGATAAGAATATATTACAACTGCGTTAACTATAATCTTACATAAATTGTAACAAGCTATAGCGGAATATTAAGGTCAGCTGACTCCAATGATTTTCCTGATAAAAATTAGAAAGAGGTCAACTTACAAACGAACATTACTAATCATGAATAAATATAATAATAGACCACAGTGAACTGGATACAAATTATCATGAAGTTCAAATTCATATATTTTATGCTATTAATGGAATGATTACCATGATTATCATTCTTTAGAGTTGTAAGAAATAAGAAAGTGCATTCATTTAGTGTGAAAGCCAAACTGGTTAATAGCGATCTTATATTTATTTTTTCCGAAAATACTAAATTTAATATCGGTTTCAATATTTTACGAATTCATGTGAATTAAATTAATCATGTTACGCGATGAACATTCACTGTTGAGCACCCTGCACTGGCTTTATTGTCATGATCAGTCAGTCAGTCATTCAGCTGCAACGTAGTACCAGGCACATATGTGCATCGGTCCAAGTTGCTATACCGCATTAGCACAACAAGATGAACACAGGATTCATAGTAGTAGTTAATTCAGTGGTAGTAATATATAGAAGAAAAATTGCATATAAGGAGATAGTACAGGAAGAAAGAATTAGTTCGTATAAAGAAAGATATGAAGCGATTTTAATCTCTTAGTTTAAAGGAAGACAGATAGTGTATACACCTACGCCATTGTGATCGATTCTGAGCCATGTCACCAAGAGACTCCAACCATTGGTTACGATAGTCACGCGGACCCCAACCAAGCAGTCTGTATCTACCGACGTGGTTCAGACCAGAAGTTAGTGACTTCAAGCACTGATGCCACATTTTGGTTTGGCCGCCCCTAACTTTCTTCCAATTATCCCTAACACCGGTTAGCATTGTCATGATCATCGGGAACCATCTTAGAAACCTTCTTACTCTCTGAATAACGTCCCCTATGATGTGAAATCTGCACAAAGTGTGGTGCACAGCCAGGAAGTTTCCACTTAGAGCATTACCAATGACGGAGCTGTTGTTACTACTGAAGCTTCTTACCGGTATACCAGAAAGGTACGAAAAAGGCTAAAAACCTTCCAATAAGATAAGATGTCTCGCCAACTATAAATTTAAAGGCTACTGGTGTCGCCTTCATTGATGCACCCAATGTTACTAACTGGTAGAGCGGTATTTCCTTATTATATTTAAGATGTCTGTAAATCGCCAAGCTATGTTATTCGTATCCCATGTACAAAAGAAATAGTACTGCAGCTGACCGTATACGTCACACCACGTTTGTGCTTCGCTTTCCAGCTGCATGATGTGCTCTGCGAAGGTTTAAAAACATTATGAAAACTACTAAACAAATCTGGGAGGTTTGACGTTTCAAAAAGAACGACGTATACCCCAGACATCCTGTGCAAGTTGTTCTTCGTAGGTTTCTTAAACGGCATCGATTGCTACAAAGGCTGCAACTCCCGACAACAGTAAAGGGAGCATGCTCTACATTTGGTCTATCAGACAACGAACTATGAACTTTGCTCATGAACAACGTGCGGTTGTGAATCATTGACGATCTCTTCACGTTGGAGAATCCATCTGCCATATGAACATTTACGGAGGACCAACATGTCTAATAGCATGTCTAGTTTAGTATATACAGGATATTTGGAGAAACATACCTTCTCATTGATAAAGATGTTGGCCGTTGATGGATGCTTTTTCATTCTCCATACACATTTAATATAAAAATCCCTCTCTTTTCTATGGCTATCCAGTATAATAAAATAACGGAAAGCTTGATTACCGTAAACTGTCTGGCTAACTCTTCCTTGGTTAGAAATCCAACGCCAATAAACATCTCGAAGCATATTGTCCGCCTCGCTGTTCGATGTAAACATGTGAAACAACATGACGGTGTTAATGAAATTTTTGAAATGCTCCCTTTTTGAATTTGATGGTTTTTATTCAGAAAGTAGGTTCTCCATTAGACCATGGGAATTACATTTTCGATTGATCTAAGGGTTAGGGGAACTAGGGTGCATGAAAATACAATTTCATATCCCGAAAAATTAAATTTACGGAAACGTCCTTTATTCGTCAAATAGTTTGACCGTTTAAATTGAATTAATCTTAATATTTAGTGTTGATGAAATTGAGTGTGTCAAAACATGTAAGACTGTAATCCAATGTTTTAGTTACTCACAAAATGACCCTGTGGACTAACTCATGTGTAGTCTTCTGCCTAAATGTTCTGTACGCTTTAAAGAGAAGTTGTTTAGCGAGTACCGAATCGGCTCATACTAATCTGGAATATCCTTTGCTCTATCACGACTGACTGTAAAAGGTTAAGGGCACAATATATTAATAAGGGCAGTTTCACTTTATGATTGTAAAACCTAACCAATCCGAGATCAGGATATTCATTTGAGAATCGCGCTTAAGTGTCGAGGTCCACCAATATGTGTTATGGAATAGCAACGATAATTCTGTTGACATCATCGTTGATTGATCTCATACTTGTCGACCTATTGCCCGTAGATAACATGGTTCTGTGTAGTGAAGAATCTGACAAAATCCATAATCTTTTTATCGCCTTGAACAACAGTGCTAGCCTGTTTGGGATTCCATTATCTCCTAAATGCAAAATGTTGTTTCAAGACTAGTCTGTGTCAACGTCTAAACTAGTGATAGGGAGTGAAGTAGTCGAATTCGTCGACCACTCCACTTATCTTGGAATTTTCGTCAGCCCTGTTGAGCAAGTATCTATTGGAATATTGGGACGAGTTCAGAAAATTCTGTTGGCTTTTGCCATCCTGTGTCAACCAAGGGACTATTATATTACACAGCACTTTTTTCTGTTATTTTTTATTTTTGTGAAACACAGTTTTTGGAAACAGGATATTCTTAGCTTACTAGTGTTCAGTCATAGATGTTTTCGATACATTTCTCGTTTGTAGGGACCGCTGAGATAACATAGCTGAGGTTAGACTCAGTATAATAGGTAAGGAATGGTAAATTGATCGTTGAAGTAGTGAAATTTTCATGGGGTCAGATGTTTTTTTTGGGCATGTATTACGTATACCGAAACATAAAATTCCTCGACGGCGGTTGTTTGTTGATGTAGGAATAGACTGAAAGGAATCTAAGGACTCGAACCAAGAAGTGGAATCAGTCCATGGAGACATTGACCATGTGATTGATCTGTGTTGATAGACTCAGGCTACCCAAATTAGTTCCACTTAATTATTGCTGTATAAAGTGACTAGATACTGGATGCAATGGTTTAGAATCGGTTCCCATGGCCTAAATACTGTAAAATAAATGACAGGACTGATATCTGTTGGTTCATTACAGTTCTATAGGTAGAATTCAATATATCACAATCCAGTGACTTGAAACGTTACCAAAGGTGATTCATAATTGAAGCCAGTGGTGATTGTGCACTATAACATATTATTGTGTTCTCCATAAAAGTAAGATAAGATTTCTTAAGTGAGCGAAATCCTATCCGTGGTCACCTTCCTGACCGAACGGTGTCTATTAATAAATAATATTCTATACCTATCCATTTTATGTAGATTATATGACTTCTCTCCGTATTTTATTTCGTACTGTTACCATCTGACTTTGTATGGCACGGCTTTTTTTATTCCTATTGAATCGAAATATGTTCGCGTTATTCATAACAACTAAGTATTCAAACAGTAACGGTTGTAAAATTTGCGGTCGCATCACTTTCATAAAAAGTAGGGTTGTGAATGAATACCTGTTCATCCATTATTATTGTAACAACGCTGTTGTGACCTTAGTCTGCCTACTGCTTCTTTAGATAGGTATGCAGTGAGATTTGTCTCGAATTTAGTTAACGGCCTTGATGCGTCAGGCTACTCAGTATAACCTTGAGATTGTTCGATGTATAACTAATTTGCAGGCGGACGCCCATCCTATTTGCTGACGAATGATCTATGCTAGCAATGATTGATTGGCAAGAGAAGATACATCTATATTCGAAGTCAATTTACCTCAAAAGAGTACACGATCAAATGTGTGAATAATTGGACCATAAAGCACAAAAAATTAAAAAGATACTAGTATATGCCAAGATGCCCAGAAAATGGGATACAAGACTAACGTTTAAATTACAATGGATTATAAATTAAGCAGAAGCCTGTGATTAAAGAAATAAGACAGTTATATAAACTAAATGGTAATAAGTATTGATTAAAAAGTAAGCGGACTAATACCCCAAAGCGTAGCCTTCACTGTTTGTTATTTCTGTATTCTCTTCACTACAGACACTAACCATTCAGTTGTAGATTGATCAGTGCCATTAATGTATATTTTTACACACGTTCTGTTATTATATAATTCTATCATAAATGTGACTTTTATTTTGCTTTTACTTAAAGGTTACTGGTTTAATATTGTGGATATGAAAGCTTTTACAGCTCTTCGTGGTACGTCACTCAAATCTTTTCGTATTCCTAGTTGTTGTATTTCTATTGATGATCAATCTTGGCCATTTAATTTGGATGAGAATTTAAATGAAGTGAGTAATTGAAATATCAAAACAATGTTATCTGTATCTAATTGATTTATCTCCACATGTTGAATGAAAGCATATAACAAAGTATTAACCTGTGCATTGCTTTTTCTTTCCAAGAAGATTTACTACAAGCGATGTGTATTATAGATTAAATCAACATGAATCTTGGTGAAAAAAGTCATATACGTGCACTGGTTCAAGTTGCTGTACCACATTAACACAGCGTGATAAAATTATTTGGAGATAAATTGAAAAGTAGTAAACAGTATCAGTAATGTTAGAAACGATTAGGTAGAGAAAAAGAAATAAAAGGTATGAGTAGACTCCGAAACTTGAATACTAAAGGAAGACTAGGAACGGTTCTTTTCGATTTGCTAAATCTTCAAACATTTGATATTGTAGCATAGTATTCACAACTTCCAACTAGTGGCTCTTATAAATTTGAATCACTCCACTTACAAAAGTGTAGATATTCGACTAAAAACTTTTCGACATATACATAAAGTCCTACAATTTATAAGTTGGTCTACGAAACTGTAGATAATTGGTGACTTATTACCTTATCCTAATTAAAATAGATGTTTTTGATATTAAGAACTGCATTGATATGAATATTTGTACTCTACAAATAATTGAGAAATTATGTCACAAAAAATAGGTTGGTTCGTAATAAATGAACACAATAGTAGAAATTAGTTTTAATCTTTCTTTTTTCATACCATTATAACATTGAGTATTGTTATTTTGACTAAAGTGAAATTATTTTTCACAGAAAAACAAATGATATAAGACATTTCGTCAATTCGTCGTCATTTTTTTTCTCTATCATATTCCTTATAGTTACTGTATACTGTTGGCTAATGATTTTGGCTAACTCATATAATCTACGTTAAGTAAAGTTTATTTCAAAGCGATGACATAATAGTAGTTCAAAGTTGAATAGTGTTTGAAGTAATCCACTAATGAATAATAAAGCTAGATTAAATGATAAAATGTTTAAATAATCTAAAATAAAGGAGTGTAGAACTTTTTTTTTGAATGAATAGATCATTTTTAACTAAATGATTAGGAATGAATAACAAAAAAATTAACGAAAGTTGAAAGATTTTTAATTAAAACAAGACTTAGAACATTCAGAACTTAATGTTAACCACTACTTCTTCCGGGAATAAAAATAAATTAATTAAATTAACACAAGTTTATATAGTCCAAAGGGTTATTACTGTTGTTCTGCCATATCGTCATGGCATATCAAAAGAATTATAACGAATCCTTAGATCACACAGAATTAAAGCACTGTCTAAAACAATGAGTATTGTTTAAGACGCTTTAGTTCAAATAAAAGATAAAATACTAATTATCACGGGGTGTGGCCTCCTAAGAAAACCACCTGCTTCGGTCTGGGCACCCGGGCAGTATCTCAGCCCGCATATATATTTTGTGCCCATTGTACCAATATCTATCTGTTCAAATAAATAATAAAATAATAATCACTTCGACACGGAATTATGTCTACAGACTGTGATTTTTAGATGGTGATTTATTCTATACTGGGCAGTCTTCTCATGAAATCATGACTGATGCCAAAGAACACACAAAAACACTTTCAAATAACCCTGTAGAACTAGAAAGTAAGGAAAAAGGTCTAACGGTCTATCCGACATGGACCATTTATTCAAATATCCGCACAACTAATTCTGTTCACATTTCGCATCACTAACAAACATATTCCTAATGTTACTCTTCCACATTACAAATATCGCATTTTCCTCACCCACAAACACATAACTACATACAGCTAAGTTTCACAAAAAAGTAATTTTGACTGAAATGAAATGTTAATATAATCAAACCTATTTTAATTTCGATTGTACTGAAAATATTCTACTTTGTGTCCTTTATGGTAGTTAAACTTGTGTTAATCTAATTCATTTACTACATTTATTTTCGAATTTCGCGATAACCACAATACTATTCAACTATTGAGTTGGTAAAATTCGATATTTTACGTTCCTCAGTGGATTTCTGGAAGTTTTTTTCTGAAATCGTGATTTATAAAGGCGAAAATGATGCATTTATTCAAAGATAACGTTGAGTAATTTCATATTATTTCATGGATTAATTGATATTAGGAAATACGTACCATAGAGTTTTGTCTTAATGACTGAATGTTATGATGCTCAATCATAAAAGTTCTAAACATAGTAGTAGGATAGGTACCCATTCAGAAAGGTGACACATTACTCTTTATTTTCAAGATGTTTCGGAGAAACTTCTATTGAATGCTGATTAGATGAATGTTTCTCAGTGTTTTCAGGGCATGTTTGGGCTTTTTTTTCGAGGAATTTTTGTGGGTCTTCTCAACATTAACATTATATATAACCGATATGAGGGGATACACAAATAGATTTAACACAAAATTACTAAAAACTCATTCGTCATGTTATGTCAAACGAAATTCACAATGAATAAATACTTACGAACAAAAATCATATAACTGAAATAAAGTGAAAGTTAAGGCTAACCAATTATCACTCCAAGTTAAAACATGATTGTTTTATCCCAACGAGAATAATGAATGATAACTTTTGGGATCCATCTATGGACTAATACCATACATATATTTTCATTATAACTAAACTATGTATATTCATATTCCTCTTATTATAAAATTTAATTTGACCTATAGACTATTATTATACGATTCACTATTTTTAAGTTATGCCTTCTCACGCAGGGGTGTTGTTTATGAAATTGAGAGAACGATAAGCAAATGTCCGGCGCTTTAACCTGATTGGTGGATATGTAGGATCCACCTAGGGAATTTGGAAACCCCTGATTCCAAACCAATGGTGCACGATAGATCCACGATCCTGACGGGAAAAATGGCGTATGAACCTATTATTGGCCACCGGATATCATGGGACTTCATCTCCTGAAGTTGCTCCACTGCCTTGTGGATCATACCTTTAGGTTGAAGGCTATGGGGGTGAACCACCAAACAAAACCACCTGCTTCGGTCTTGGCAATCGGGAAGTATCTTAACCCTCACACAAATCGAATGGTTTATTTGGCGCATATCTATTTGGTGCGTCCTTGTGTTTAAATAAATAAATAAGTTCTGCCTAGTTTATGAATTACAATCTTCCACAATCATAGCCACTTTTGGCTAGATCTTGTACAAATCTTGTTTTCTATTTTATGGTGTTATGTGATCTGTTTGGCTTGTATATGAACATAGTGTGTTTGAAATATATAATTTATATCACGGAGGCTCAGATTTGTGTTCTGGAATTAACAGGTAGGGAAAATGATCAATCGGGATTCCAAGCCGTTTGTTCAGGAGTACGCGTCATTTGTTGGTCATATAAATCCGAGTATCTAAATTTGGCAGTCGTATTCGTGGTAATCATATTAGCTAAATACATAACAATAATCTCACCTTCTTATCTCCTCTTCTAATAATTCTCATAGTTTGGTAAATTGAAAATGAAATAAATAAGAAAGAGCATTTTTTAAATCATATAATAGTGAGTTTTATTTATTAATATCAGGATTTTTGCATAGATTTTAGTAATTTCAACAGTTGAGGTCATGAGTCAGTTGAAGCTAGACCATCATGAAAACCTGGAAGCATTAGACAGCTGTTTCGTCCCACTGCGGGGCTTCTCAGCAGTGCACATCCACTATCTCGCCTCGCGGGATTCGAGCCCAGGACCCAGCCTCGCGCGCGAGCGCTTAACCACTAGACCACTGGGCTGGCAACCAACGATGTTAATGTCTAGCTTCAACTAATTCACGAAATTGAGCGGCACATCGACCATTGTCATCAGTGAGTTACTATCTCACAACTGACTCGGTTGAAATCCACTGGTCACTGCTTCCCACTAGAACTCCAGACTATACATATTGAAGTCAGTCACTAGTGAGCATATATTGGGTGGTATCAGAAGGTGTTTTGTGGAGATTGTATTAATTTCAATAGTTGAGATCATGAGTCAATTGAAGCTAAACTGACAGGTCCTGGGTTCGAATCCTGCGAGGCGAGGTCGTGGGTGCGCACTGCTGAGGAGTCCCGCAATGGGAAGAAACAGCCGTCCAGTGCTTCCAGGTTTTCCATGGTAGTCTAGCTTCAATTAACTCATGATCTCAACTATTGAGATTTTATTTATTAGTTTAATAGTAATGAATTCTCATTAAAAATTTCATTGATTAATTAATGATCCATAACACGAATGATCATCAATCATGAGAATTAATTCTGATTAACTTGTTAAATTTTGTATTAATTCTCTATGATTTTTCATTCAAATGACAATTATTCCGTTTTTAATATAATTTCTATAACTAATACTCATTGAATTTAATTGTTATGTAATTGAGTGAATTGAAATATGATTTTATCACTATATGATTATTACAAGATTGATCTCACTTTCATTCCATAAATAATTATTGTAAAAGTATTGTATATTAATCATCCAGTCTATCTAATTAGTATTGATCTTGTTTCCTATTAAGTTGAGTCTCTCAACTATTTATGGTTTGGAATTATTATAGTTTATCTCAAAGGATAATAAAATAAAACATTGGTTTCATTCACTATTACACGTTCAATAGTTATATCAATCACCATTTTAATTTATTATAAATTGATTATCATTAAAAATCATTCTTAACTGTTTCAAAGGTTATTTACTTACTTACGCCTGTTACTCCCAATGGATCATAGGCCGCCGAACAGCATTCTCCAACCCACTCTGTCCTGGGCCTTCTTTTCTAGTTCCATCCAATTCTTGTTCATTTTTCTCATATCTATCTCTATTTCTCGGCGAAATGTGTTCTTTGGTCTTTCTCTCACCCTTCGGCCTTGAGGATTCCATGTGAGGGCTTGTCTTGTGACGCAGTTCGGTGCTTTCCTCAATGTGTGTCCTATCCACTTCCAGCGCTTCTTCCTGATTTCTACCTCCGCTGGGATCTGATTTGTTCTCTCACACAGTAGG